CCTCCTCCTCCTCCTCCTCCTCCTCCTCCTCCTCCTCCTCCTCCTCCTCCTCCTCCTCCGCCTCGTCTTCCTCCTTCTCCTGTTCCTCCTTCACTTCCTGCCTGCTGTGCCCTGTCCCCTGTCCTGTCTCCGAGCCGACGGCAACTCTGTGCCGCCAGCGGGGGCACACCCCGCCTGGCTCGACCCACCCGCCGCGTCGGACTGGTCGAGCAGCACCACCAGGACGTCCCCAGAGGGGTCGGCGTCCTCGGTGGCACCAGGCTCCTGCGCGCGTCATCGTCCAGCGGCGCGCCAGACGCAGCTCACAGATTCGCGCGTCCGACCCCACGGTTTTCCACAACGCAGCTCCCCACGAGGTGCGGGACTTCCCCCGTGAGGTGCGGGACTTCTTCCCGGGGACCAGCTCGTCGTCCCGAGCCGTCTTCTGACGGTCCCAGACTTCCTCGGCGGCCCCTGGAAGCCGAAAACGACTCAGAGCTTCCCGTGGTAATTTGTCGACGGCGCGGGGGCGTCAGTCGGCGGCGCGCCCAGGAGGGAAAAGGCGGACGCGGGGCCAGCCCCGTCGGCACGCCCAGAGGGCCGGAGGCCCTCTGAGGGGGGGCGCTCTGAGCCTTCCCCGAAGCGACACAAAGGGCATCTCTGAAGGGGCCCTGGGACACACAAATCAGTACACACAAATAAAAGGATCCCCCATATTGCCCCATATGTTCTGGGCTTATGTCTTCCCCCCCACTTCCCATAGTTTCCCATAACTTTCCCACTGTCTGGGTTTCTGTCTCCCCATTTCGCGCTTCGCGCTTCGCGAAGCGCGAAGCGCGAAGAACTTCGCGCTCTCGCGCCGCCTCCCAGGGACGAAGAGGAGGACGAGGAGGAATCGGAGCCGAAGCGCGAAGCGCGAAGCGCGAAAAGCTTCGCGCCCTCGAGGGCGCCCCTGGTTGCCCGAGAGGCGACGCCGCCTGCAGAGAAGCCCTGCCCCCGCTCCCCTCCCCCCTGTGGAGCGCCGCCGAGGCGGCGTCGTAGGAGGGGAGCCGAACGGGAGGGGCCTGGCTACGGGGGGGGGAATGGTTTGGAATCCAAGGAGCAGCCAGCCCGTGTCATCACGACGCTCGAGGAGGCTGCAGGGGCCCCGAAAGGCCCTGTCGACACTCTGGCGCCGCTGGTGAGCGCGGCCAGGGACGGGCCGAAGAGGAAGGGCGCCAGGGGCAACCTTGGGAAGGCTGCTCGTGCTGACTGTGCGGGCGGACTGCACCTCGGCGGCAGATCCGCGACGGGCCCCCGATGGGCCGAACCCAGACGCAAGATTGTGATGGGGCCCCAGGACACACACAAATAAATACACACAAATAAGAAGATTCCCCATATTATCCCATATTTTCTAGATTTTTGTCTTCCCCTCCACTTCCCATATTTTCCTGTATTTTCCTAGGAATCGACGATAAGTTGTGTCTGTGCGTTTTTCCTCTCCTGAGATTGGGGCAACCCAGGGCCCCGCTGTCGGCGCCCCGGATGTCCCACCCCCCACCCCTTCTTCCCGAGCCCCGCCAGTCCGTCGGGGAGACGTCAAGACTCGGGCACAGTCGACCCGCATCATTCGGCGGTGGACAAACCTCCCTTTAGTAAACCTCCCTTTAGTGAAAACGGCCTGGGACCGAAACCGACGGACCTGGACCCGCAAAAATGACGGCCGCGACGCCCTCTCGCGAACAGAAAACGGCCAATTCACTAATCGACGTGTCACTGTTGGGGGTTCTGTCCGCCCCCGCATCATGAGGATACGCGACAAGGATGCAGGGGCCTCGGAAGGCCGTCTCGAAGCTCCTCGAGCGGGGCGCGGCCAGCGAGTGGCCGAGGACGGACCGAGGAGGCCAGGATGCAAGGGCACCCTTGGGAATTTACTATGCGGGCTGACTGTACGGGTGACTCGGGTTGGCATGACGGGGCCGTCCATAATGATGACGAGCCCCAATGTGAAATTTGACGCGAGCTCCCGCTGCAACGTCCCACGAAAACCGGACCGTCAAAATCCAGGGCGCGCTCGTCAGAAAACGCCCGCAAACCCGAGCTCCGGCTCACTCGAGTCTCACGCGTCCCCGAACCAGCCCTCTGGTCCAGAGTGGGTTAGCGGGTTTCCTCTTCCATGTTCGCTTCTCCGATTCGGCGGGCAACACGTCCGAGACGGCCTCCAGGGCCTGCCAGATCGCCCCGGGACGGCCCAAGAGGCCCCCGAGAGGGTCCCAAGACGGCTCCACACGGCCCGAGGACGGCCTGCGAGGTCTCCCACACAGCCCCAGCGGACCCCAGGAACGACCCAACATAGCCCGAGAGGGTCCAAAGACGGCCCCAGAGGGGCCCAAGACAGCCCACGACGGCCAAGAATGCGCCTCCGACGACCCAGGAGGGCGCCAAAAGACACCCAAGAAGCCCCAAAAGAGCACCCGGAAAGCCCTCGAACGGCACCCAGAAAGCGTCCAGCGGCCCTCGAGGTCTGCCCTCCAGGCGG